AAGTAAACTTAGTACTTGCTTGTGGATCTTTTTTGCTCTTGAGGTCTCAATGAAAGTTAACCTTATTTTTGGTATGGTTGTAGTTAATATTTTATTTAATCTTTATATATATTTTAAATATGAGAGTTAGAACACAAAATATTAACAAGCAATAAAAAACAATATCATAAAACTATTATAATTTAACTAGCTTTCTAACAAAACTTGATGTGTGTTAAACTATTTTCATTAACTTGTAGAGGTGATCTTGGCAATAGCAAATAATGATATTGATGTAGAATAAAGAAAATGTAGCAAGAGAACAAGCTAACCTCAAAAGGAAAGAATGAATTTAAATTTCTCTCTCTTTCTTTTGGCTATAAGTGATCCTATAGTAAATGTCAAAGACAATTATATAAATTGTTTAGAGACAGCATGTGCTAAGAGGGCCATGGTTTATAAGCAAGTTTCAGCTTATAACACATTAAAGCAAGAAGAATATATACTATAAACTTTTATTTCGGCTCAAGAATGTTTAACGTGTAAGTGTGCAATTCAGAGTAAAGAAATGTCATGTGATTCATATAAGTGAAGACTGAAAATTCATTTCTTTTTGAAAATAAGAAATTAAAATTCGTATGATATTAAGATTTTAATTGTAAACTAGGTATTAACATACATTGCTAATAAAGTAGTTTAATTAAGTCTTGAATATAATTCTGTAAAAAAGATTGTGTCATGCACGTTAACCTACCTGTATCTACAGGGCTAACTAATGAACACTTTCCAGTTTTTAATACTGTACATGAAACTTAGACACATACACATATTTCTTCTCATTAGAACTGGATTAAAATGTTAATCACTTACTCCAAGATCGTCATTATTTAAGAAAGCCTCTTGCGATGCTAACCATATTTCCACTTGTTTTGCTTGTTCTATGAACATCTATATAAAAAGAAAATAATTTTGTTGATGATAAAACTGTAGAAGTTTTGAAAACAATTTAAATCAATAAATATTTATAAACAAATACTTTCCTATCCTTTTATTTGATAGGCGTTATTCTCATTAATTAAACAATTTGATGATTCAACAATCTATAAAACATGTTATCTCATACAATGACTGGCTTGGATAAAACACAAGAAATGTAGAATTTACAATAGGTCCTCAACTTCTTTATACTGAAAAATAAACAAAATAGTCATTCTAATTGATACAAATTGTTTTTTGTTGGTATTGAAAATTGAAAAATCATTAATTAGTTGTAAGATACAAGGTTACAATATAAAATATTATGATCAACTGTTAAAAAAGAATTACAGGATTTACAAGTTATATGTCAAGAATCCTGAGTTTGTTTTAGATAAAAGCCACATAAGGCTATCTGCTATGTCCACTGCAAGAAACAAACCCTGGAATTTAATTGTAAGTCTATAAACTTACAACTGTCCCACTGGGGGGTGGGCAAAATCCCAAGAGGAAAAAGAACCTGAAATTTTGAAAAATTAATTGATTCTTGCAAGTTATATGCAAATAGCTTATAATAAAATATATTTTGAAACTTCATACCCATAGGTACACTATTTAATAACATGAACAGCTAAATTGAAAACAAAATTCAGTTCATGAAACTAAACGAAAAACACACATTTAAGTACAAGTGCTTCAGTACCTGGAGTTTACAACACTGTTCCATAGCCGTCTGACATTCATCCCAAACCTGAGTAAGTTTTTTTTGTACTTCTTCCAAGTCCTGTAGACCTTCTTGGATCTTCTCTTTTGCAGGATGGTTCTGTTGGAGCAATTTTTGACCAGAGTCTTTCACTGCCCTGAAAACTTCTTTCCGATAGTTTATCGCTGCCTGTTCAAAGACAGATTTTAACAAGTTTTCTCTTTATGTAGGTCAGTCATCATGACATCAAATGAAAAACTTTAGGCCAATATTGAAAATTTATTTTAATACTTATTGCAACATACAGGATATTTGAACATATAAAACACACATGTTTAAAAGAAATAAGCAATCCGTTGTTAAAAAGAGCAAAGAAGTCTATATACTGCATCTGTTAACATGCTGAGACAAAAAGCTTAAAAAACGTTTTGTCCATATAAGACACATACAGCAAATAAATTAATTTCATATTTCTTTTGCTCTTCATTTTCAGTCTGTCATAAAATATAACACATAACATGTATCCCCCCCTGATGTGTGAGGAGCCAAGATGACTATATACCATGTTTTCAAGATAGCTTTGGCAAAGTAAATAGTATTGGCATTCAATCTTCCATAGTGACCTAATAAGTCTAAAAGGAGATGGATGCTTCAGTTTCTTGCATTGATGACTGCAGCAAAAAGAACAAAATGTTCACTTCTAACCTCCAGTCAGGTGCAGTCAGTAGAAGGTTCAGTGATTACTTATTAATTTTTATATTTCTTAGGTAAATATTACCAAGTTTTCATTATCATATACACCTGTATATACTTTGTTACAAAATAGTTCCACACTTAATAATTTACAGTGACTTATGCAAATATATAGTTTGTAATGACTGACTATACAGTTTATAATGATCAACTGACCAGCATATAGTAAGTAAGTAGTTTGCATTGACTGATAAGCACAAATAAAGAAAATACATAGTTTGTAATGACTGACCAATACAAATAAAGTAAATATATAGAGTTTGTAATGACTGACCAGTATCAAGTGGGTACAGATTTTGCAATAACTAGTATAAGTACAGTGAGTAGAGTCTGTAATGACTGATCAGTATGATATACAAATGCACCATGTGTTTCTATTTGCTTATAGTGTTATTTATTCTGATTTTATTCGTTGTTCTGAATATTTGCAGATTTCACATAACACATGGTTAAGAAAATCATTCGTTTGATCTTGTTTCAAGTTCCCAAAGTTAGATGCATCTCTGTTATCACTCATGGAGAACATGTGACTTTGTGTAAGGATTTCAACAGCATGTCTTTCAGTGGCTGTTCAAGTGATATCTGAAAGTTAGTTCCAGTTTCACATATGTGTAACGAGAATAACTTGACATGTGGTAGCACCAGTTGATCTGTATCAATAGAGGTTTATTCAAACCTAAGAGTAGTAGAGTACAAGCTAAGTTTAAGTAAAGTAAGATACAAAGCTTGGAAGGTTGGTGAAGAAGACTTGTATTTAAGAGTCTGACTAAATCTCCCAACTAAATGCAAAGAGTGTCCATGCAGGAAAAAGCACACACACACACACACAGTTTTTTTTTATACTGAGAATCTTAATAAAGCTTGTTCATTTTGTTTCACATGTGTTTCCAGTCTTGTTATTCTGTTTATCCTCAACTTAGTCAATAAAAATGTTAGTAATACTCCATAATCTATACTTCATTCAAATCTCCTGTTTAGTGGACTTTAAGTAAAGCTCTAAAGTAAAAGTAAAATGAATATAGAGCTTGTAAAAACTTGAAAAGTACCAATAAAGTGAGTATATAATTGGCAAAATATTTCAACTTAATACTTTAAACTGGTTCCACACATGATTTTTCAAATAAAAAGATATCTAGTGACTCTTAGAAATGCAATAATAAAACTTTGAACAATCTGTTTGTAGATTTGTAGAAAAAAACTTCAGAACAAATATCTTTTTTTTTTTTTTACTGGCAATAGTATCATACGAAACAAATATTATAAAACAACTGCTGCATGAAAGACTGTCACTGCAGAGTCCTAAAACACTGTTCTTTTAGAAATATTTTCCTTTATTAAGTTCTATTTTCTTCAGACATTTGAACACACTAGTTTTAAGTCAAATTAATTTTGTAGTATTTTAAAGGATGTCCACAAATATCGTTATTTCCAGCAAAATATCTTGAAAATTTTAAATAAAAAATATTTAGACATATTTACCCTTTTGTTACAATAATGTATTATGCATGTGTATAAGACTATATTATACAATTCTGTTCAAAACAAAAATACTTAAATCATTTAAATAAAATGACATTAACCTTTCTTTCCTGGTGCAGCTGTAGTTTACTTTGAGCTTCTGAGATTGAGTTAGCCAATTCACCAGATTTCATCTGCTTTATCATATCATCTGACCAGGACTCCTGCAAAAAATATAAAAGTACAAAATTTACAGCAGAGTACAATAAGGGAAATGCATTTTCCAAGTTACCATTTCAATCAAATCAAACTATGTGGTTACTCACCAGCTTGGCAACTTCAGTCAAGAAAGCTTGGAGACTATGTGCATTCTTTAAACGCTGCTTTCTATTGGGTGAAAAACAACAACAATATCACTAACTGTAACTAAATGAAGGGTGTATCATACACATTAACAACATTATACACATTAAAAAGTTACTTTTAATAATAATGTTGAAAATCTCAAGATTAATGTTCCATTATTAAGTGTGATATAATGAAGTCAAACAGTATCCTGCACAATGTACATTACCAAATGCTAAATCTAACAGTATATAAAACTGAAATGCCCAACTTGCCAAGCTATTAGGAAATTACACAAGCTTTTTAATTGTGATAAAGAACATCTACTTCCTGTGTAAACAAACTTTCTTTATTTTTAACTAATAAAGATTAGTATTTCCAGTATTTCCTGTGTAAACAAGTCTTCTTTATTTCCAACTAGTAAAGAACAGTATTTCCTGTGTAAACAAACTTTCTTTATTTTTTACTTCCATGTTAGTTGAACAAATTAAAGTTTATGGTTTCTTCAAAGAACTTATAACAGATTTATTCTTAACAAAAAAATTCAGTAAATGTAAAACAAATTCTGGATCTGTGTAACTAACAAGTTGTAAAATAGTTCACATATGTTGCTTTTATCCCTATTTTAACTATCAGTATAATAACTTAATTTTTTTCTGAAGATCCATTCTTAAGTGTAGATTATGAAGTAGATTACAAACTCAAACAAAATATACTGGACCACGTTTTAGCATATGTCCAATGATAATTCACAATAAAAACAAATGACAATTTGCAAAACTTTAATGTTGTTGAATGTTGTTCTTTAATACATATTCTTTTTTTTACAGAAAGTTTTTCTAATTAATCATCAGTTATATGTTAATTACACAATTCTTTTACAGAAATTGTAATAACTTAGGACTCTCATATTTGTACTTAAATTATGAACCAACTATTGGATTATGTAACAACAAAATCTCAAAATTATCTACAAATATGTAATTATTATTTAGATTGCTTATATTACTCTCAAATGGAAATACAACATTAAAGATACAGTATTTTTTTAGTAAAATTTGCATAAAAAATATTTCCAACTAAATTCAAACTAAACAAAAAAAAGTGAGTTTTTTGCACAATACATGCCAGAAATGATTCAAGATGATAAAATATAATAGTGTCAAAACTTTATTCTTCTAATATAACGTCCAATCATATGGTAACACTAAATGATGATGAAAACATAGTGTCAAACTTTATTCACTTAATGTAATGTCCAATCAAATTCTAAAACCATATGTGTTATGACAATTATTACCTTTGTTTGCAAATGTCTGTCAATCTTCGTCGATTCTCTTGAACTTCATAAATTTTTGCTCGAGTAAATTTTGCCATATCTGGATACTTTTGGATTAACCGACGAGCATCGGCATCGTGTTGCTGCAAGTTCATATTAGAAAGAATAAGCTAATGTACGATTTTGGTTACAGGCATTTAAATCAGTCAACTTTCTAGAACCAAATATGATGAATCTGACACTTTGCTGCATTCATTTTAACACAATATTGCATATTATTTAGAAAGTGAACCTGCATGGAAATTTTGGTATGTTATCATAGACAATAAACATATACGACACATGATAAAATAGATTATAATGTACCAAACACTGAATAGTTAACAAATATAGTCTCATTTGGTTAAAACAAAGAATAACAACATTTCAAATCATTGTTTGATATTACTTTAACAGAATAACGCTGATGTTATTAACAAAACTAGGACTTTACTCTTAGTTTAGAGTCAATGGCCTGGATTTCCATTTCAACAGCTTCTTGCTTACGCTGCAAAGCTTCCACACATTGAAGATCTTTTCCTTCATCTTCGACAGAAAGAAATCCAACCTAAAATATGAAACTTCATTTTCAATACACTGTTATACAATTGTTTTTAAAGTAAAAACTATTGGTGGGCAATATTACAAAATGATAACGGATATTATTGATACTTTCTGAGAAAACTTTTAATCTCAAACATTGGCAATTAATCGTATACGAAACACATGTTAACCTGTTTACTTTTCTTCCCAAACTGTTCTTGAAATACATTATATGTGTTCATTTAACAGGTTAAACACTATTAAAAAAAATGCTGTACATTAGCCCTGAGATGAGTCTGCCACCATGGCAACTAAAAATACCATATGATATAACATTTGAAAGAGGCTAGATTAGAGAGAGTAAACTGAAATGGTCAATAATAGTCCTTTTCTGGTTTTTGAGTCAATTTTAATTATAAAATGATAATAATGTTTTTCTTAGTTCAAAAAGATCCTGCTAAAATATATACAGAGTATAATTTTGTAGTTCAAAGAGATTGATATATATATTTCTGTTGGGGAATGAATGTATTGATCTGCACACTACAAGTAAAAACATTACTATAACCAAATCAGCAATAATAAACTATTCTTTCTCTATTGACCTGTCCAATCTCAATAAAAATATTACTATAAACACTAAACTATACTTTGTATTGATTTAACTCCCAGTAGTAACAACATTATTATTATGAAACTAACAATATTACAATGTAATTTCTCTATTCATCTGTCTGCTCACACTACAAGCAGAAAACACTATTATTATTACCAATATAGTGGTACTTTACTATACTTTTTAATTTAGAAAACAAGCTAGCCATCAATATCTTACACAAATACAAAATTATTACATCTTTATTAATATTACTGCTTAATCTTTAAAGGTTTTGAAAGTAAATGTCATTGAAGTCCTTTAAAATGCTTACCTTCTCATTGATGCGATCATTAGTGTCATCAACATCTCTGTTAAAGGCATGAATTTCCAAAGCACCTGTCAGTTTTCCTCGATATGCTGCAATAGCCCCTTGCAGTGCTCTCCACCTGCATGAAACATATATAACATTAAATAGAGACGTGCAAGTCTGTATAACAAAATTAAACATTGTTAACATACATTTTATACAAGTTCAGTAGATCACTAGTTATTAAATTTTAAGAATATAAACTTAAATACAAGTCACACCAAATCATTATACTAATGATGTCGATTGTTTAGCAATTCATAAAAAATAGAAGGATTTCAAAATTTGTTTTAGCAAGGGTGTGAGAATGTGTTTTGATGTCCAAGCTCTAATAGGCCTGAGAAATTTACTTGACCAAATTCAAATTCTACTAACTACAATTCTTTTTTTCATTATAATCATTAAATAACTACACATTTTAAAGATATACACATCTATATTCACTGTAGTGACTTCTTGAACAATATTAAAAAACTTAAAATAGCATGATATACTAAAGAATATGTGGCAGACATAAAATCTATGAGGAAGTAACCAGTTTACACATGTGGTGGATTGGTATTCCTGATGTATTGAAAATACGATTTAATTCAGAATATATAATATACTACATATACATGCTACATATACTACAAAATCAAAACAACCACAATGCAGCCTGTCATTCAAAACACATTTGCTGTTTTTCCATCATACCTATGAAAAAGGTCATGTAGTTCCAAGTGAGGAGTCCATAGAATTTTGTCCAGACTGGCTGTTTAAGCTCATATCAATAAAACTTTGCATTAAAAAATAACTATTTTTACTCCAGCCAAAAATAATCACTAGATTAGAAAGCATTATGAATACAAAACTAAATAACTGTCATTTTTACTTATAAGTGTAACTAAATCTTGCATAGGTGTTTGTATGTCAGGCTTACAACATTAGTCTTTTGTAAATGAAGAGACTACCAAACTTACAAAAATTTCAGTTACAGTAGATATTTAATGAAGTGAAAGGAAAAATAACATGTGACATTTTTGTACCTTGTATCAATTAAATAAAGATTGGGATTTTACATACAATTCACACAAACTGAATCACACTAGCCCTGGGCTAATACATATGGAATTGACAGTACTTCAAACTTACAATATAGTAGTCGCAGGTATTAGACTTGGTTGTGGCATTTGAAATAAGTATAAGCAGTTGCTTAGGGCTCTGAGCAGTTCATGACTGCCCCCTCCCAATTCACACGAATTTTTGTTTTTCCTTCAGAACTTTGACTTTTGGCAGTCTTAATATGTACTAATTTGAAAATATCTTTTCAATGAAAGCAACCCAAAAACACATCAATCACTGTATTAGTATTCTTTATGTTTGTGTATGTTTTGGTTTTTTTGAAACCATGCATTCAGTATTGTTTTAGAGGAGGACCTAAAATATTTCTGCTTAAGGCTCCCAGAGGGCTAGCACTATCCCTGGTTAGGTAGTGAGTCTTTTTTTTTGCTTTTTTTGCACCTCTGTTTTGGCATGGACTAAAGTGTAATATATTTATTACATATTTTTATAAAATTTTCTTTTGTTTAATTAAGATGGATTTATTGGAAAAATGGCTTTCTGAATTTCAAGATATACCAATAAAAAGAAAGGTGTGGTAACTGACAAGTACTTTTACTGAGTAGTTTTCATATTGATAAGTATTCTTAAACAAAAACAGAAGTTTCAAGATCACTGTCCCATACATACCCAAAAAAACAGAAGTTGCAAGATCACTGTCCCATACGTACCCACCAAAAAGCATTTTGCAGAAAAAGTACCAAAAAACAATCTCATAATAATACTAAAACTGGAATAAACAAGATTTGAACCTTTCAATAATCGCATAAACCTAACAAAAAAGTTTTTGCTGAGAGAGCAGAAACTCTTACCAAAAACATTATAGAACCAGAAAAGTCATTTTTGCCTCATGTAAGAATATCAACCAACTGTGAAAACTAGAAGGTTTCATTATTTCATTTTATTTATTGAAGTAACAAAACAAAGTAAAATCACAGGGTATCAAAAAATCTTCTCACTTCTTATTCAAATTGTCACATCGCTGCTGTATTGCTCGAGTGTCTGATAAACCTTGACGAACCAGTTTGTCAGCAAGGTTATTGATGTTCTTGATTCTTGAGTCATCCACTTTCATGTCCTAAAAACACAACAGGTGGCATTTCACTTGATATAATAACTGCTTACAAAAGTTATTACTTAACCATTCTATAAGAATGAATCTATACCAGTCTTTTTAACAAGTATGTCAATACTTACTGAGCCTTTTAAAATGATCTTTTGTTCAAAGACTGAAACCTAAATAATAGTAATCATATTAATAAGAAGAAACACTAACTGAATGTTTAAAATTTTTCTTATTCAACACAAGTTAGGATTCAAGGTTTACTTACTGAATCCACATCATTTAACTTCTTTTGTAGTGAAAGGCAATGCTCATAATCATTTCCAGTGTCACCTGCCTGAACCATCATTTCCTAGAGATAAAATAACCAATCATATAAATGTGTCTTTAATAAAAAAATAGAGCTTGATAATAAAAACACTTTTAGACTGACATAAACAGATTGACATAAACAGATTTTATATCTCTATAATTCATGCTTACATGGATTAAAAAAGAAAAGCAAAATACAAAACATTTCAATTACTAAATAGAATAATTTATAAAATCAGTTGTACATTAACACAAAAGCCCTTGGAAAGATTTTAGTAAATATTAATAGTACTACCTAATAGAACAGAAAGCTGATCAGCAAAATATACCTTGTCTCTCATCCATGCCTCTACTTTATCTACTTGAGTATTCAACTCTAAGATGTCCTGTGCCTCCATTAAACCTCGACCTCGATCAGACGAAGCTTTACGTAGCTCTGCCCACTTCTTTAGTAATGTTTCCAGTTGCCTCCTAACCTCAATCGAGGATTCATGCCTTTTGGATAGCAGTGATTCACCTTTCTATAAAACCATCACAAGTTTACAAAGGACATAGCACTCAACTACTAAAATCAGATCATTTTTAAAGGTTTTTCTTAAACACATTCTATTAGGTTTTAACACTACAGTATTTATTTTAGCTCAGGCCATGTATTACTATGTTTTCACTTTACAAAAGTCCAAGAACTTTCAGGAGCTGCAGATCTCTGTAAGAACCTGTTCCACTCAAGTTAAGCCTCACATGACATTACTGCAATCACAAAAACATACATGTCCATCTGCTGCAATTACACACATGCCGTACATGGCCGTCTGTTACAATTACATGCACATTATACATGTTTGTCTGCTACAATTACATACACCGTGCATCACAAGAACACCCGTTACAATATTACTTCACACATACTGAAGATTATGTGCAGATGAACAAACTGCTATGATTACATATAGGTGACCATATGCTCTGATGACACATACATGAACATCTGCTTTAATAACACACAAGTGAACACTTGCTCCGATAACATACACGTGCCCATCTGCTCTAATAAGGTGACATCTGCTCTCATAATGTACATGTGAACATCTGCTCCGATAATGTACACATGAACATCTGCTCCGATAATGTACACATGAACATCTGCTCCGATAATGTACACATGAACATCTGCTCAGATAATGTACACATGAACATCTGCTCAGATAATGTACACATGAACATCTGCTCAGATAATGTACACATGAACATCTGCTCAGATAATGTACACATGAACATCTGCTCAGATAAGGTACACATGAACATCTGCTCAGATAATGTACAC